GAGTGATATGACTGAGCTCGTATATAGCAGCTTTGTGTATTTAATTTCGACAGCGGTACTGCTTCATGCTGTCGATTTTTTCTATATTCTGCCCTATACCAGTGAGCAACTAAAAGGCCTCAACCAGAACAATGGTCTCTAACCGCAAGTTCAAGATGTTATGAACCTGACTGAATTATATTAATCAAAATATTTTGAAACATGATGATTAATCATCGCTATTAATCCATGTTCGTATCCCCACATCCTCTTAATTATCGTATATTTTCGAATTTTATAATGCTGTTGCTTTCCACACTGCACGCAAGAAAAATCACGGTCCAATAGCAAAAAAGTCATTTCCTAATTTCCTCGTTTGTAGGGAGACACGTAGATTGTCTGCTCTAAAACGTCTGAGTTTTATTGGAGAATTTACAACTAGAACCTTGGACTAGTCGAGCCCTGACCCCAGAGGGGACAGGTCTGTGTGTTAAAACTGTAGTTTGTACACCTCTTCTTTTTGGGTTGTAATCAAGTTTTATAGCCAACACCCTGAATTGAACTACTAGTAGGTCACCGACTCGGTTATTGCCCCGGTTGTTCGCTTTTCGTCCTCTCACGTTGATGATGGAACACTTTCGCGATTTGAAGGCAGTAATCAGGGCTTTTTCAACTGTCGATATTTGCGACGCTTAATCGTATGGGACACTCTCACGGGTTGCCCAGGAAGGGTGATCAGCCATTATGTAAGTATGAAATGTAAGAACAGAACTAAGAATACCCAAAGACAATGATCGCACATCGACTCGTTTCCCCCATGTTTTTCCTTATGTCCGTTGTTCATCTGTTATCACTCGAAAATGTCCTAACTGACCAGCCTCGGGATTCCACGAGTAGCGCATTTTGCTATTCATCCATGGGAACATAGTTGTTTTAATGGTTTGTAATTTGTATTATATGAACTTCAGAACACTATAGTGTTTTTAACATTGTCAGACTTCTTCGGCATTGTGATTCCATCTACCTTATTGCAAATCTTCTAACTAGTTAGTTCTGGTTGCATAAAGTTTGGCGTATTAGATCCCCAAGTTACATTTCTGTTGTCTCCATTATCAAAACGTTAAATTTTCTATTCACTAAGCAAAGGCATTGTGTTAACTGTGAAAATTTTTGTGTGCCTTCCGCTTTTCATCCTTTACTTAGTTGATCGTTTGATCGCATCGGGACAGCCCCTGAAGCCAAACACGGAACCATCTCGATGGCCTGGTGAGTAGAACACGGTGCACTGTTATTTCTTTTACTCTCAGTACGTTTTGTATTTGCTATACGGGTATTGATGGAACTCGTGCGAAATGATCCTCAATTTAGAAATGCCTTTCAGTTTTCAATGTTAAACTTATTTTTAGATAGTCACGGGTATATATTTTTTATATTTTCACTCACGTCTGAATCCAGACTGTGCCAAACAAAACGTGGTATAATAACCTTTATGAAAAAGAAAAACGTTTCATGGTTTGCATGTGGGCGGAATACTGCCAGGTTGCCCAGGCCAAGGCCGGTGAATTTGCTTGGGAAATCCACAACCGGAGCCTTTGGCTAGTCAAAGCCTGCCCCACAAGGCAGTGAGGCGGTATGTGACGGACATTTATTCCGAATAGTATCTTCTACTTCAACGTTCTGAATTCTCATGTTTCACTTTTTGCATTGTCGCAGTCTTGAGTGTTATGATAAAACCTGTTGTAGTTCAAACATTACGTCGCAAAGCCTAAAGATGTTTGGTGCAACGCGAAAGTTCGTCCTTTTTCATGAGGTTTTTTATTATTTTTAATCCAAGCCTTTTTAGCAACATGTCTGTTTCCGTGCGGTGCACAGTAAATATACCGATAAAGATCATTATTTATTATAAATTGAAAGAATTATGTGGCAACAAACTACTCATTTACAATCTCTCTCTCATCGTAGGGCTTAAAAACATATTCCAAGGAATGTGAAAATCGACCTTCAAAAGTCAACCTTGACTTATGCGGCTGGTTGTGTAAGCATTTTGTCATGTCACCATGCCCCAAAGGGGTGAGTAATTTAGGAGTTTTAGGTATAAAAATGAAGCAAAGAAGTATATGGGGGGCGTTTCAATACCTGAATAGCGTGAGCAATTCGATGAAACCACAAGTAAAACTTATAGCATAATTAAAAAAAGTTCTCTACTAGAATGGCAATGTGGAGGAGGAAAAACTGATCACATCATACTGAGACGATAACTACACTCCCCCCTAGCTGGCAAAATCTGCAAACAACCAGTATTGAGGTTATTCCGGGTGGATAAGCCGCCACCCTCGGGAAAATAATGACCAACTTCGAATTGCAGCTGGGGTCAGTTGATGTAATGCCTTTGTTGAACAAGACAGAGAAAGTTTTAGCCTTACCAACAGGTTTAAATTTCGTCACTCCTCCTTTGGTGTTCGGTTTATCTCTACTGGTGAATATCTGGTGGTTGACGAGTATGCATGACATAATGACACCATATATATATATATATATATCCCTGGGTACAAGTATATGAATGAACTTACAAAAGATTACCGGATACGCATGCCTGACGAGCGACAAAAACCGCGAAACCGGTCGTGTGCTTCCAGGGCAATTTCGTCCAGGCATTCACGTGCTACCTATTAAGAATTGTTCTACCAAGACCATCAGGTCACGTTTTTTGCGGTTAGTAGCATCTAACCCACTTACAGAACATCGAATCATAGCATTGATTCTTCATTGGACTGGCTCTGAACGAACTATCTATCCAATGGTTACCCGGTGTTGCAAACAAGGTTATTGTGACGTATATATATATATATATATAACATTAATCTGCTATTTTAGCTTCCCATTCTTCCTTATTGTTTATTTCACATGTATCCCAGTGGATTTTGCGTACGTAACATTGTGTGTATGCGTTTTGCCGTTTTGGTGTAAATTTTAGGACCCAGTGCAACTCAGTAGTCGATTCGATCTAATGCTGCAGAGGTGTGTAACCCATTACAAAAAAATGGCATTTCTATCAAACGTTGCCCTATCGCTACCTATTTCGCCCTATCGAGTATTTTATCTTCACTTTTATTCATCAGCATGTAATTTTCCTTCATTCATGGTTTATGGTCATTTTCTCTTTCGCTTTGACCTTGTGTCACATCTTTTCTTACCCGAATCAGTGTATTCTCAAGATACTCCTATGAAGCATTTGGTGAATGTCATTCAGATTTTACAGACACAATCTCTCTCGCTGCCCATAAAGAGCACTGACAAGTTGATTCACCTCTGCTAAGACTCTTCTTGTGGAGCAACAAGATAATACAAAGGTAGTGCATAAGCCAGATAATTATGACCTCGTATGGGATGAACGGACTGTAACAGTCTTTGGCGTACTAGATTAATGACCGACGTTGAGTTCGAGCTTAAGATAGATTTTCACCTGAGTCCACCACAACCAACAGTGTTCGTCAGGGTCGCTCTCTCTCCCTCCTTTTCTATTCAACTTTGTAATGGATCTGCCCTCTTTCCAGGATAGCGGCATCGGTTCGCTCCCAAATGACGAACGTTCTGATTTATAGAGTATGCAGACAACATTGTACTACTGAGTGTAAGACCACATAGAATGCTAGCTTTTCCGTATAGTGAGTGCCACTGTAGCCGCGTGCAAAAAAATGTTGCTACGGGACTGGGTTGATCCAGCTTTTAACCTCACTGTAACTGGGGGAATAATAGTACAATTTGTGGTAGGCAGCTTTGCTGTCGTTTGGTTCAATACCACGCCTAACCCAGAGAAGTTTTGTCTTTCCAAATCCCGGGGCTTAGGTCACCGGTTTCCATCATTTAACAGAACGTCATTGTGACTATATGGCCTCTCCTGTTTGCTGTTCACCACACAAAGGTGTGCAATAAAAACGTGGACAAATTTTGTCATTTGGGTAGCTATATCACCCGATGGTACATCCTCGATGAAGTGTCGGCACGCGTATAGAAGGCTCGATAGGCATTTGCCAACTTTAGACATCTCTGACTCAGTCGCGATATCCTGTGGTCTGTGAAGCACTCAGCATGTTGTAGCGGTTCAACCGGTGCTGCTACACGGGGCAGAAAATTGACCATCACGAAAACAGGATAACGATAGACTATCCGTGTTCGAATACCACTGTTTGCGCGCCATTGCACGAGTCTGGCGAGGCAGACTTACTAGCAATACCAAGTTCGACATGATCGTGGTAACCCACAGAAGATCGGTCGACTTCCTCAAATTACACTGGTTGATGTATGTTTTTCATGTCACCCAGTAGGTTGCGGTGGCGTGCTCGGTTCGCTGACGTGGGTAGTGGGCGGACACAAGTCAAGGAAGGGCACATTGATACCTGGCACGAGGGTGTGAAAACCCTAACCAGAAGACTTAGTCAGGCAGATCGCATTAGGTTTCCTGTTTAGGGAGGTACCTCGGGATCATCGTATTTCATGGTTCGTGATAGATTTATAGCTGAGTGTTATAACTAGTGGTTCTAATGTATCTCCTCAATTTTCTTGGAACCTTAGTCTACCGGAGTTCTCCATTTTCTCTCCTCCACTTCAACTCCTCCTCCCTTCAACTTTCCAATGTTCCATCTACCCTTTTATTCAACTAACCAAACCCGCGCCACTGAAGTGAAGTGTAATGAGTGTTGAAACTGAAATTAAAATAATGATTAATCCGGTATTCTCCTTTTTTTCTTGAAACTTTGTTCAGCTCCTTTTTTGATGTCTGATACGTATTTTTAACACAAACACATAGTTAAATCATGAACTCTTTCCGTATAACTTTTTTTACTGCTATACAGGTATTGATCGAACTCGTGCAACATGACTCTGAAAAGAGAAA